AGTGGAGTAGAAATTAATTTATGAATTAATTGAATTGGGTCCATGGACCGGGCCAATTATTAATTCATTGTAGCCAATAAAATAATAGGCCCAATGGATTCTCACTCATAGCCCAACTTGATATTGGAATCATCTTAGATTTGAGACATGTGAATTAGAGATTGAAAAGGATTAGTTGTTTCATTTTCTTTACCTTTATGTTGCCTATAAATATACATGGTCTATGTATATTTTAAGGGTGATTTTTGGTAGAAGGAAAAAGGAATATATATTTTCTCTCTCTAGAAAATTAGGGTTTATATTCTCATCTAATGGAGGCTCCCACAAGTCTAGTTTTCCAAGATCATTCATGGAGGCATATGAGTGATTCCTAAAGGCAAAACAATTACCAAGAAGATGCAGATCCAAGGAGAATGCATCTTACTAAGGGATCTACAATAAGTGAGAACATTCACTTTAGAGGAGAGATCTAAGGTTTACTCAAACCTTAATGTAAGTATTCAATCTTTTAATCAAATGATACATCATGTTTTATTTTTGCATAAAACTTGTCTCTATGTAATGAATCAAGATCTATGAATTTAAATCCCTCGAAAAGTTTTTAAAACTAGCACGTTTCCCAACACCCATTCCCGCTTCTTTGGGCAGTTTGAGCAACTTGGCTTATTTGTATCTCTATGAAAACAAATTGTTTGGTTCCATTCCTCCAGAATTGGGAAATCTCATCAATCTTGTCGAGCTTGATTTGAGTCAAAATTTGCTCACAGGTCCCATCCCTTCCACTTTTGAGAAATTAAATAAGCTAACCATTCTCTGCCTATACCAAAATTAGCTCTCTCATTCAATTCCCCCAGAGATAGGAAACATGAAGTCTCTTGCGAGTCTGATCCTTTATATAAACAATCTTTCTGGCTCAATCCCGGCATCCTTAGGTGATCTAAGCTCCCTAACTCAACTATTTCTCTACGACAATCAGCTCTCGGGTCCCATTCCCAAAGAATTAGGGAAGTTAAAGTCTCTCAATGATGTACTATTGAATGAGAATCAACTCAATGGTTCTATTCCTGCTTCATTTGGTAATTTGAGCAACTTGGAGAACTTGTTCCTCCGCGACAACCAACTCTCAGGTCCCATTCCACAAGAAATTGGGAATCTGGAGAACTTGGCTATGCTGGCAATGGATGAGAATCACTTTTCTGGCGATTTGCCAGAAAAGATTTGCCAAGGCAGAAAACTGGAATACTTTGCGGTAAACAATAACCAGCTTACCGGTCTCATCACCAAAAGCTTGAGAAACTGTTCCAGCTTAACTAGAATGCGCCTCAATGGAAACCAGCTCAGTGGAGATGTGTCTGAAGTTTTTGGTGTCTATCCAAATCTTCAATTCATGGATATTAGTGACAACTTCTTTTTTGGTGAAATGTCTTATAGGTGGGGACAGTGCCGAAATTTGACTAACCTAAAGATGGCAAGGAATAATATCACTGGACGAATACCACTAGAGTTAGGGAATTTATCTCGACTTCAGGTAATTGATATTTCTTTGAATCAATTAGCTGGTGAAATTCCAAAGGAACTAGGGAAGTTGGATTTGCTAGAGCTTGATTTGAAAGATAATCAACTTACTGGTCGTATACCTATAGAACTTGGATCACTAGCTTATATGTCGTATCTTGACCTGTCCATAAACAGGTTGAGTGGGCCAACACCGGGAAATCTAGAAAAATGGTTGCAGCTGCATTCCTTGAACTTGAGTTACAACCGTTTTAGCCAAAAAATTCCACCTGAGATGTATAAGTTAGCTCATCTGTCCATGCTAGATTTGAGTCATAATTTTCTCACAGGAGAAATATCGTCGCAAATTGAAAATTTGAAGAGTTTGGAGGAGATAAATCTCTCCCACAATAACCTCTCTGGTTTCCTTCCAGAGGCTTTTGCAGAAATGAATTGGTTGATGTATGTTGACATATCCTACAATGAGTTTCGAGGTCCCATTCCCAGCAATAAAGCCTTTAGAAATGCTACCATAGAGGCATTACAAGGGAACAAAGATTTATGTGGCAATGTTACAGGATTGAATCCTTGTAAAAATGGCCCGGAAAGTAACAAACTCATTCTAGTTCTTTTAATTGTATCACCTCTTGTGGGAGCACTTTTACTTCTTGGTGTATTTATTAGAGGACTCATCCTATTCGAAAGAAGAAAAGGTAAAGCACTAAAAGAACAAGGCGATTCGCAGGATGAAAACAATTTGTTTTCAATTTCCAATTTTGATGGTAGAGCAATGTATGATGAAATCTTAAAAGCCACCAATGATTTCGATGCCTCAAATTGCATTGGGAAAGGAGGATATGGAACTGTTTACAAAGCAAAGTTGCCACCAGATAATATAATGGCCGTGAAAAAACTTCACCACCCGGTGTCTGATGAGACAGAAGACGGTAAAGGGTTTTTGAATGAGGCAAGAGCACTGACAGAATTATGACATAGGAACATTGTAAAGCTTTATGGTTTCTGTTCACATGCTCAACACTCTTTTTTGGTTTGTGAGTACATTGAAAGAGGTAGCTTGGCCACGATCCTGAGCAGAGATTAAGAGGCTGAAAATGTGGATTGGCCCAAAAGGGTGAATATCATTAAGGGGGTGGCTCATGCTGTGTCTTACTTACACCATGATTGCTCACCACCAATTGTTCACAAGGACTTATCAAGCAACAATATTTTGTTGGACCTCAAGTATGAGGCTCATGTTTCAGATTTCGGCACTGCTAAGTTTCTAAAGCTAGACTCCTCGAATTGGAGCACACTTGCAGGCACATACGGATATATAGCACCAGGTAAACATAGCTTTGTGTTCTTCTTACTAATCTAGTACTACAGATCAATTATACATCATCATAACTTACTTTTTCTTTGCAGAGCTGGCTTTCATAATGAAGGTAACTGAAAAGTGTGATGTGTATAGTTTTGGAGTGTTGTCACTGGAAGTGATCAAAGGAAAGCATCCAGGCGATCTCATCACCTCATTATCATCTTCATCTATTGATCAGAATATAATGCAAAAAGATGTGTTGGACCAACGCATTCCAACTCCCTCAACCGCAGCTGAAGAGGTGTTGATGTCAATTATAAAACTGGCCATTGCATGTTTAAATGTCAATCCACAATCCAGGCCGACCATGTGCGTTGTCTCTCAGATGTTGTCAACCCTAACACCACATTCTTAGAACCATCCAACTCAGTTATACAGTGTGGAAGAATAGTTACCTAGTGTAGTGTTGATATACTACTAAATAAAACAAAATATGTGCTCAACATATTTTGTCATCTGTTGTCATTTTTTTTTTTTTTTTTGGTACCTTTTAGTGTGTTTTTTTTCATACTCCGTATCTGTATATAAACACTTCATATCAATAGAATGTCAGTATGTTTGTTCAATGTTATCTTAAACGTGCATATATAAGTTTGGCCCGTTTGGGTGGTAGTTCTCCGTAGCTATCTATTGTTTTGATACAAGATTAAATTGTGACAATTGTGGTCCAAACAACTTACATTTCAAATCCCATCCTATCATTACACAAGATAAAAATAATACCCGGCTCTAAGTATCCCATCTTACTATTACAAAAGATAAGAATAAATACATGGTTCTAAATACAAAGAATTAGAAGCCCTAACTTTTAAAAAACCTGATGTTATGATTCGCACCATCAAAATCTATAATCACAATATTAGGGTAAAGGGTAAGAAACTCCCTATTATACATACATACATACATATATGTGTGCAATAAATAGTCGTCATATTCAGTATAAGTATATAACCTCTTAACATTTGAAAAATGTATATAAATTTTATGTCCATCATATGACCATTCACAACAATTATAACCAAAAAATTGAAAATCCAAAATTATCCTTTTTGAAATTACCACAATGCCCTTCAGTGACTTATATATATTGTATAAAAAGAGAGGGTTAGAGAGTTCAAAGAGAGAGAAGTTTAAGACTTATTGAGTTTTTAACAAATATTTTAGAATCATACAACTTCCTCTAGTGGCATGTCCTTTTTAAAAAAATTCGCACATTTTATGAGTTTTTTTTTTTTTTTTTTTTAATTATTTTAACCATGATTTACCATCGCAAGTGTAATATCATTGTACCAACACGAAATGAGTTATTACAATCGGAATCTTTTGTTCGAGCACACGAGTCAAAAAATGCACCAATGCATTACTTTTTAAAGCATAATTCAATTTTAAATTGGGATTTTAATGATTTTTTTTTTTCTTTCTTGAATGCTAATGGTTTTTGTTGAATTTTGTACTGATCTTTAACACACGTAGTGACCAATATATGAATCTGAAGTCCTTTCTTAAAAGGTTTAGTGTTGTCCTTTCTTAAAAGGTTTAGTGAGTATATGTTTTACTAAATTAATGAATTATAATAGATTTAAGTACAAAATAAATAAAAATTAAACAATATATATAACAGAAGAGGGAAAAAAAATAATAAATATGAAAATTAAAATATATTAAAAACATATAAAAGAAGTCAAAAGTAGCAACAAAAAAATAATAATAATCACACATCCACTCATATCTCACCATCAATCTCAGAAATTTAAACGTTACATTTAAAAGCCAAATTATGATGGAAACTTGCCTGCATAAAGGCGAATAAGAATAATGGAAACTTGCCTAAATAATTCATTATTATTGCTCATTGGTCCTTTCGATTTTAGTTTTTTATTTTTAAATATAGAAAATTTATTGCTAAATCGGCTAAATAAACTGAAAGTGAGATCAGATATCTTGCGCCGCAATGTGTTCAAGTACTTAATGCTTTTACAATTTATTCCAAAAAGATATCATCCAGTACTCTGCCAGCACATAGCATTTCAGTAGACCCTATCAATCAAGACCGTCAAAACGGAGATCCACCTCGATTTAACTACGTGGACCCTTTTAATAATCGACACCGACTTTGATCACTTCACAAAATCCAAAACTTCCCTCCGAACAGTCTCACATCCAAACACGCCCCGACAAATCCAAACAGAGATCCACATAAACCCAAACTCTCTCTCTCTCTCTCTCTCTCTCTATCTCTAAAAATCACACTGATTTCTTTCTGTTTCGTCAACTTCACGCCCGCGGCGTGTTTCAGCCGTTTCTCTTTGGTTTCAGTACCAATTAGAGGTATATCTATGAATCTCTGTATATATATATATATATATTACAGGCTGTTTTTTTGTATTAATTTCAATCACTACTGTATTATATGATTTGATTCATCATCCATGGCTTCTCTTCACGCCGTTTTGGGTTTGCTTTTTGCTTTTTTATGTGTTCATGCTTGTTTTGGACTTGTTGATTTTTTATTTTATGTTTGTTCATGTGATTAGATGTGTTTTTTTTTTTTTTTTTTTTTTTTTTTTGTATTTATTATCCATTTATTTTTTTAGTTTGTTGTGATTTAATCATTGAAAGTCTGCGTTTTTTATTATCTTATTGATGGCTATTTGATGATTATACGCTGTTTCTATTCTATTTGCTTCTAGTTTGGGGTTAATCTGAGTTTTTTTCTGTTTGATTAGATCTAGGGTTGTATATGTGAAAGCTTATATCTCTTTGTTGCTATTATTGTTTATCTTTTAGTTTTATATCTTATTTTTTGGCCTCTTATTTCATCTAGGTATATTGGCTACTTTTAAAATTTTGGGTTTTCTTTTCAGAACAGGATTCCCTAGTTACTTGCATTATTGTAAGTTTCTTAGACGGGCTTGTAATGTGCCACTGTCACTTAATAATTTAAAGAACAATGTTTGAACCACATGTCAATTCTTTAAAATTCAACTAATGAATTATGTGTGGTAATACAGAGAGATTCAACATCCTTGTCGTTTGTTTTCTTTCGAGTCCAAAAGGTTTAGGCCCCCTGTTTATTAGAACTACCATTTGGAATCAAATTGATTTTGGAATATTTGTTAAAAGTCCATGCATTTACGTGGGTATATTATGCATATGTATTTGGGGTTTTTGGAACTAGGGTTTCACTTAGGTTGTGTGAAGTGGAAACTTTTGTGAAACTTCTACAAGGAGTATGGAAGTGAACCCTGCTGCCTTATTTTTTATTTTTTCATTGTTTCCTTAGTCAAGTAAGATACCAAGCCCCAAAGGGTTGAAGTACAAATAGACTCCAAACCCAAACAGGCTTGCAAGGATTAATTTTTCATTGTTTCCTTGATTGGCTTCTTTTCATCATTAAATGTAGAAGACTTGTCTACACTGACTTTCTCCTTTTCTTTATTAGCTTTATTTTATTTTTATTTTTTAAAACAAGTGATTCAACTCAATAAGCCTTATTTAACTTCCACAAATTGGCTACTTGAAGCCTATTCCCCAGAGAACTTTATATAAACCATATACTCTGATTAAGTGCTTGACAATCTCGTCTTCAATTGGATCACTTCTAAATTTTCATGAATGCCTGCCACTCTTTTCAATAGTTCCATAACTCCTTACTTTACATATTTAAATATTTCTATAAATGGACTTTTAACCAACATGTATTAAACATAACTACATATAGATTAATTTAATCTATTTTATTTTCTTTCTTAGTGATCTAGTTATATGCTATTCGTCTTTAATTATTATGCTTTGGAAAAATGGAACAAAAGTTATAATTTTCTAAATGAATAATGTGCTGATGTTATGCTTTTGCAGAAATGGCCTTGCAGACTGCCGATCCTTCCCATGCCACCTCTGCCCAAACTGTAGGAAATGACTTCGTGAAGCAGTATTACCACTTACTTCATAACTTTCCTGAACAGATTCAAAAACTTTATCAGGATTCAAGTGTCCTAAGTTGGCCAGGGCTCGATGACAAAATGACATCTGTCACAACCATGAAAGTATGTTTTCTGAAACAAAAATTATAATGCATTATTAAAATTTCTTGCTTAGATTTTAGAATAGTCAAGCTACACCATTAATTCTATAGAGGGGGCAGTATGAAGCCAACAATGCGTTTTCATCAATACTCTTATTCTTACTATTTTGATAAATTAGTACATGAACATCTGAAGCTTTCTGCAATGTGACAAGATTTTTTCGTGTTTTAATTTGATGGTTAATTGGATATTTAGAATATTGGTTGCCCATAAATCTCTTACCTTTTTAAAAGTCTGTTTAGGGTGAAAAGTTATGATTGATAGTTTAACACAGTGATACTGTCTGGTTGGTATCTTAGTTTTTCTAGCATCAGGGCCATCTATTGATTTTGTTTTTGTTGCTGTTCATAGTCTGCTTATCTTCTCTTGAGGAGTTACCGTCATACCTGCTAGCAAATATAGCAGTATTTGCTGTGGTTGTCCCTCACACGGACGAGTGGGGGCCACACCCCCATCAACTCTTTTCATATTTTAATATTTGTCTGTGTAATTTTAAAATTGTAAAAATGTGCTTTAGCCCTTCCTTTTATAGTTGTTCTCGCCAAACTCCTTTTGCACATCATTTTCCACAACCCACGTCTACTTCATTTCCTCCAGTTCGGCCATCAAGATCACTCTTTTACCCTCTTACTTTAGTCTATATCTTGACCCTAGGTGAATATGCAAAAATCCCTAACACTTTTTTTTTTTTTTTAACCAAACCTTACTTATTGTTAGATTTTTTTTATATTATTTTTTAGAAAACAAATATATATATATATATATATAATGATTTTGTTAGCATCAGTAGATTTACCTTTTTATGAATTGGTTATTTGAAAAATCAAAACTATGATAGAATTTTGCAATTTATTGAAATTATTTCATAGATCAGTAGAGGTACTCCTCTAGTGCTTTCAAAACATGAAAACTGGTTGAGGACAATTATAGATGTATTAAATAAAAATATTATGAATCAATAAATAAGTTTTCTGTATTTATTAGTTTAGTAAAAAACATAAATCCTTAATATTGTTCAATGTTGCCTTCTAAATTACATTTCTGGCTCTGCCACTGAGCATTTGGTGCACCATGAGTGCCAATCAATGCAGCCCATCAGAAAAATAAAATGGGTCGCCTGTGGAGGGCAAGGCAACAATTGTAGGCAATAAAATAAACATACAGAGGAAATTGTTTTCCATGATATTTTCATTCAGGAGAGTTTTGTTGTGCTTGGCTAGCTGACTTATTTCAAAAGCCCGCTTACTCCTATTCATCAAATTTTTAGCTGCTGAGTGTGTCAAAATTTTAGCACAATTAAGAGTCATCCCTCTCTGTAAGTGAGCCTCTTTTCTTGACTTGCAGTATTGTTGTTAAAGTTCATGGCAATTATGTTTTAGACTCTAGAGGGAGATCTCCACAATAACAACATTTGGATAGTAAAAAAAAGACATTTTCTTAGTGCCTTACACTCTTATGTATAGTAAAGTTAAAGAAATTCAAAGAGCTGTCATACTTTAAGTTTTAAAAACTGAAATTGGGAAGTTTATATGGTCTGCCCTCTTTAAATTCCCTATGGAATACTCCCTTTAAATTTCATATTATGATTTTAAAAAATAGTGAAAAATGTTTAGAAACAAGTAAAAAGCCTTACACTTTTATAATAGTGTGTGTGTATATATATATAGATTTGCTGAAACAGTTGGTATGACCTTATGGTTCCATTAACAGCTGTTACAGCTCCGTAATGGCTTTTATATTCATGAAAATTAGCGGGCTGTTATATTGGCTTGAGGCAATATCTCTATGTGCCTACCATTATGATCTGTAGGCTGTAGCAGCCATTGCTTGAAATCATGATGGTTAATGGTGGTACATCCAGGTTTTATTCTTATGGTTATTTGTAATGATTTCTTTTTTCCCCAGTTATCTGCATAAGCTTCTATATTTGTGAACCCTGTCTTTGATATTTTTGACTTAATAAGTGTTTAATTTCTGGTTCTACTTTACTTTCGTGAGCTGGGGCATTATTTTCAATTTTTATTCATCTTGAAGCAGGGCATTAACGACAACATCCTCTTGTCAGAGTTCAAGTACTATAAAGCAGAGATAGCAACTATAGATGCTCAAGACTCTTGTAATGAGAAAGGGGTGATTGTTTTAGTAACTGGTTGTTTAACTGGGAAAGACGATCTGAGAATGAAATTCACTCAGACATTCTTTCTGACCCAACAAGACAATAGCTACTATGCCTTGAATGATATTTTCAGATTTGTTGATGGAAATGAGCAACCGGGGTTTACTCCGTTGGCAGTCGATGATGTTGATGAAAGTGCTCCTACTGTGTCTGTAACCCCAGATCAGGGTTCAATGGCAGTCGATGATGTTGATGAAAGTGCTCCTACTGAGTCTGTAACCCCAGATCAGGGTTCGATGGCAGTCAATGATGTTGATGAAAGTGCTCCTACTGCGCCTTTGACCCCAGAACCTGGTCTCTCTCTCTCTCTCTCTCTCTCTCTCTCTCTCTCTCTCTCGTTTTAGTTGATCACGTCTGGTTGCCCAATTGTATTTTTGTGCATGCATGTTTTGAAGTGTGAGAATGTTGTGTGACCTTTTTCTTTTTCTGGTAGGGGTGGAGGGATTGGTTACATATACCATTCTACTTGGGAATGATCAAATACTATAGTTGTTTTCAGAGCCTCCTTGTTTTCCTGATCACCCCATGTAAAATCACACATTTACTCCTGCTGATTCAATATTACGTTTGTTTTCAGAGGATGCTCGTTCTCATGATCACACCATGCAAAATCACGCTTCTAGTCCTTCTGAGGAGGATAGTAATGATGACAGAAAGGCCCGGGATCCATCAGACATCAAAGGTTCTCTTTTGGAGATTGACGAGGGTTCAGATGTCAGAGACATAGTTGTTGCCGAATCCCCAGTCACTTCCTCACATAATGATGCAAGCTCAGTTCCCAAATCAGCTTCTGATGTCCAAGAGAGTTCCCAAAAGATGTCTTATGCATCAATTGTGAGTTATTTTATACAATTAATGTTTCAAAGGTGTTTAATTATTCTTGAACTTGATCTAAATGTTTGGATTCTGGTATAGCTAGCAAAGAAGAGTACAGTGACCTCTCCAGTCCATGTAGCTACTAGTACTATTGTGAGGGTGGCACCTTCAAGCACCGGGCAAAGCTCGCATGCCTCCGTGGCTCCGAAAGCAACAGCTCCTCGCAACAACAGTGTCCCTCAAAGTAGTAATGATCAAGCAGAAGGTATCTTTTTACTTTAACGTGTAGAATGTTACCCGGAATTGTATTGTATTTTACTGTCCTCTATAATACTAAATTTATTATTCCGTTAATATAACTTCACCCTACTTATTGCAGTTAATGGCATATATGTTGGGAATCTGCCTACGGATGTGACAGTTCAACAACTCGAAGCAGTGTTCAAGATGTTTGGACCTATTAAACAAGAAGGCATCCAGATTAGGAAATTTGAGGTCTGATTTAGCTTCTACTTCACATTCTGTTTCATATTTTTTGTTTACACCGGTTACATGTTTATTGTGAAAAATTCAATGTCCAGGAAGACGGGTTCTGTTTTGGATTTGTAGAATTTGAATCCTCGGATGCTGTGCATAGTGCGATTGAGGTATTTACCTAGAAATTTCTATTCGCTTGTATATTTTGATCATCTGTTATTTTTGGAAATCTTTAATGTTGGTTGTTTTAGTTTTTGCTGCTTTAATTGATATCTTTTTTTACAAACCAGACCATGGAAAGTCACTGCCTGCAAATTCTAGCATTTAGTGCCTTAACTTTTTTGTTACCCTGAACCTCTTTCACTTCTTGATGCCTCCCACCTCATGATCAGAACATTAGGTTTTAAGTTGATGGACCAAAACAGTTTGGAATCTTTATATGCTTAAACATTATGTTCCCTTTGTATCAATGATTAATTGCTAGAATCATGTTCTCTTAATCTGCTTTACCTTGTATGTTTATGATTATGATGATGCCAGTGTCAAGCCATCATTGTTTATTCTTCCACTTGTTATTCCTCCTCAACCATAATTTTGATTTGAGCAAAGGCTAAAATGCAATGAATGGTTGTTGGATTTTTTTTTCCTTCTTAAAATGGTTTTTGGAAGTTTGAATTTTTTATAAGTGGAACTTCTAATCTTCTATTTTGGCTATTTTACTTTGTGAACTTATAAATATTCTTCAATTTCTGCAGAAGCTGTAAGAATTTTGTTGTTTTTCCCCCCTATTGATAGTTCTGGCTAAAACGGTTTGATGTTATTAATTTTTACATTTACATGTAGAATCTCCTCTAATCTACTAATGTTTTGTGGAAGTCCCAGCGAGTTTTCCTGTATTTGTTTGTCTATACAAGAAAATTTTAGTTTCCCTATTTTAACTGCCTCTAATAAAAATATGTGCTATTCCAGGCTCGTAAAGTCACGGTTGGGGAAAAAACAGCATATATTGAGAAAAGGAGAACTGTTACCCGGGGCAAGGTTCATAATCCTGGTAAGTTCAGGGACATTGTTTGTTTTCACACTTTAGATTATGTGGAATGTGACCACCCCTATGTGAGATTCTTTAAACCAATTACATTTACTTTATTGGGTAGTCTTCATTTAGAGTGGAGAAGGGAATGGTTTTTGTCTTCCTCCAATCTGTGTTGTACACATTTTTCAACACTGCCTCCCTTTGGTTCTGGTTTTGCCCAAGGATGACATGATACACTATTAGCTTTTTCTTTTTGGTTAGCTGCACCTGTTCATTGCTATCAATAAAAGCAGAGATTATCTAAGCTTTTTCGAAAAACGAAATTTTTTAGGGGCTTCTTAGAATTGGTGTATTTGGTTACAGAACAGCAAAAACAACGTTGGCTGATTATATTTTGATCAAACAATTATCATAAGAGGCTGTTTTGGTTCTTGCTTGCAGATGGCATTGGTAGATGGAGGTTCTCGTCAGGAAGGGATGGAAACAAGTTTAGGGGAGATGACAATTCTAGGGGGAGGGGAAAATTTGGCGGTGGAGGCCGCAATCAGCAACGCACTGCAGCGGCTAATCAGGGGGTTCTCCAGAATGGGAGTGGAAGGGTTGGCCGTCAAGGTGGCATGAAGTAGAAGAATTGCTTACTGCTTGAAATTGTTGATACTTTCATTATTATTATAATGAAAAAAAGGTACCCAAAAAAAAATAATAATAGAGGTTTTTTTTTTCCCACAGTTTTACGGCCTATTTTTGCTAGATAAGATGGGAATTTGTGTAATTAGAAAAATTTTCCCCATTTTTAGAATTTTGAATTGGGTGGGAGACATATTTTGAAAACTCAGGAAGGATTGCCAAAAGGTTTTCAGTCCAATTTAGGAAGTACTAGACCACAACTTGTAACTTGATATTATTGTGATCTATGATTTTTTTATAATTCAAAAAAGTAAATCTAAATTTGACTAGAGGACAGTTTACATGTGGTAAATGAAACTTATAAGTTAAATCGAACTAATGAGATAGATTGCCTAGGAACTTTTTTTTTTTATATTAATTTTGTCATGTCTTCTACTACTGTAACTATATTAATTCTAGTATAGTTACGTTTGTAATTATCGTAAGGGTGTGAGTAACATGTATTTATGATTTTAGTGAAATCTCGTCGTTCATGGACCTAGCTCCTGAGTTTGGGGTTTGGATCTTTTCATGTAATTCTTATGTTATGGTTTGGAATTATTTTTATATTTTTTTCCTTTTGTTGCGTCCAACAACAAGAATTGGAGTGCACACAGTTCGAAAATTAGAGCCGAATCGAACCGTAAAACTAAAAGAATCAAATTGAACTAAATTGTGAAAAAGTTAAGATTGTTTTAACGACTGAGTTCGGTTTAATTTTACTGTTCAATATTATTTTATAATTGAATCAAATATATGTATATAATTATAAATATATATTATATAATATAGTGTTTTATGATATAATATTATGATATTTAGTTGAGGGAATTAAAAGCTTAATCTTATTATAATATAAAATATATATGATTTTTTGATGGCATATATTTTTCCTTTTCAAATGAGCATTCACATTCCTTTATTTTTCCTTATCCAAATTCCCAATCACGGACGAGAAAGTTTGGTTTAACTAGCAGCAATCTTGGTAAGGTGTCGCGTGGCTGTGGCTTGACAACGAAGCCTGTAATTCGTTGTCGTATTTAGACGAATTTGCCCCAAAACAAACACACCCCCTACTGTCCTTTTTTCCCTTTAACCTGCCTGCAACACGTGGCTCCAAGTTCATGTCGAGGAATCTTTTCCCACTCCCCCCACATTTTCACATCAATGACGTGTCCTCTCTCTCTCCTCTACACTTTATGTCACTCTCGCTCTTTATGTATCACACACACACACTTTCTCTCTCTTTCTATATATATATATATATATGTAATGGTCATATTGGGAGCAAAGTGGCAACATGTGCTTTTTCGTGGAGTATTTATTTGAGCAAATTATTATTGACACAACACTTGGAATTGACCCTAGACCCATGACCTTTTTAATCCTTAAAAAATTATCCACGTGTCAATTTGTTAATTTTGTGATGGAAAGAGGGACAAATTAAAATTGGACTAATTTACAACCAAAGTAATGAAAGGTCAAGTTTGCACGTATTTTAAGTTTAATTATTAAATTAATTGTAAAACTTAAAATTAAAATATAGTGTGTTTTAATATCATGTTAAGGTATGCAAATTTAAAAAAAATTAAACTATTAGGAAGAATCTAACTTTAATATCTAATTTTTTAAACACTTTTATTGTTTATGATAATTGACCGTAATACAATAGTATGACCTTTAATTAAGAGATTGAAAAGAACAACTTGTGAGTGTTTTTGTTTTGATTTCAAAAATAAAATAAATTGATGTCGCATTTTGGAGTACGGAATTAGTATCTTGAAATTGAAATTATAAAAAAAAATTAGTTCAAAGTCTAAATTATATTTTCTATAATTTTAATTTCAAGCTGCTATTCTGTATTCCCAGACACAACAAGATATTTTGAATTGATCTTTTAGTAGAATTAAGATCCTTTATGAAATATATTAGGCAATTTTTATTTATATTGGCGTATAATAGTTTGTAGGAAGACTTATAAACATATGTTGAATGCATTATGCATAGCATAAACAAGTGTAATTTGATTGTCCACAACATTATAAATATATTTTTATTTATATTATGTTGAATTTTGAATGAAATATCTGATTTTTTTTTATGATAATCCTTATTGCATAATTTAATTATCCACAACATTATATGTGAATTCGTATTTTCAAGTTTTGAACTCCAATTAAGAATGATTTAGAAAATGGTGTTCAAAATGTGAATCAATATCTTACAATCAAGTCTACCATTAGTCATTCAAAGAGCAGTGATGGAGAGTCTGAGTAGTTGGACAAATTCAAATAATTTTATGTTAGTTGATACTTTATAAATAGGAGTAATGATACTTAGGCCTATTTATCTGGTCTAATAACTTGACCTAATTAATTACTATCCTCAGAGGTCCTATTAGAGACCGACTGTAATAAATCTAAGGGTTATTATGACTTGTAAGTGATTCAATTAGTTATTGTGCCTGATTATTCACTTTAAAAATCAATTCCTCAAAAATATTGATAACATTATTTTTTATTCACATAAATAAGAAATTGTTTAATTTTTAGACTTCAAATTATTATTCTTATTAAAAAGTTTATAGTTCATTTTAAAATTCAATTACAAGATAAGAGTTCCAAGTCACTATGGGGCCGCCAAATGGGTGCATCTTGCCAAGAAATAAAAAACCTAAAATTCAATTTGGTTACTTAATATTGAACTAAAATAGAATTTAAATAAGATTCATTCAATTTGTTATTATTTTCACAAATCTCCACATCATTCTCAATAATTTCTTAATAGTATTACTCATAAAAATAAATAAGTAAATAATAATAACAATCATAAGTAATGGCGGTTGAATGGTATGTCTTTCACCATGTATGAACCCCTCTACTTAAATAGAAGTGTCTTGCAAGTAAAAAGTAATATATATATATATATTATTGATGTAAAAAGAATATTTATTAAAAAAAATACTTTGCATGAGTGGAGAATACAATTTTCTTTTGTTCTCAAGGGTATAGTGGTATTAGTGGGATTCGGGAAATAAATCCTTACGGTTTCGCTTAAATAGTGCGTTGTGGAGCCTATATACATGTTTTAAAGAGAGAAAATAAAATAAAATAAAAATAAAAATAAAAATAAAAATTTCTTTTAATAGTCTATTTTGAAAACTTAAATATATATATATATATAAGTGAGAATTGCGCTCAAACAAAAAAGCCCGGTAATTTGTGTGGGACCTTCAACCATTTTGCCACGTGTGTGTACATATGGTGTTTCGACACGTTGCACTTTGTACCAACACCGGTCCTCCAGCCCACACTATAAAAGCTGCAACTTGCTCGTGTGGGTCCCACTTTCATTCATTACAATATCACACATATCTTATCTGGGTCCACGTGCGTCATCCCGCTTACTCCCCGATTTATGCCGTTGATTTCCTCGTTGACTGTTTCTAAATCTCGTTGACTATGGCCAACAAGTGAAGCCTACCTACTCATCACGTGGACTAAATGGGAGAGACGGTCCCCAGGGTTGGGAAATCATGGAATTTTAATGCACATTTTAAAAATTAAATTGAATTTATTCTATATTTTGAATTTTCATAGTTTTTGAGCCATTCTTTTTATTTAAAACAATTTATTTTTATCATTTTTTTTATCACTAAAATAAATATGACAAATTAGAAATGACAAAGAGTCATGCATGAATAATAAATCAACTTTGATTTTATGAAATTTAAGTAAAGAGAATTTTAAAATATTACTAATAAATGAAATTCTGCATAAAGAAATACAAAACAAGTCTAAAATTGAAGTACTCTAAAAAATTATAAATAAAAAAAAAGAGAAAAAGATATGAAGCCTAATCACTAAAAACTACTATTAATTATCAAAAATTAGAATAATCGGAATCCATTTAGATATAAATGTAATAAAAAAAATTGAAATATATAACCCGACATAAAAAAAAAAAAATTTGATTTTGAAGTCTTAAATGATAGAACTTGAAAAAAAAAAAAAAAAAAATTCATCATTTATCATGCATGACTAAAGCTGAAAAGTATTACTTGTTGGTCTGATTTGAAAGTAACTAAATACATGTATTTAACCTTTGTTTAATTCAAACAATTTTTATGGTAAATTACATTGATATTCTTTGAGGTTTTGGTTAATACCACTCAACGGAAGATTAATTATTATTTTTTACATTGACACTTCCCAATGTTTCAAAAATGTGCATTGACACTCCTTTCAAACCTCTGAAACCATATAAAATTACCTTTTTACCTTTTAACTTGTCAAAAGTTTCATTTAAATCATGAAATTACAAATTTTACCTCCAAACTATATTTAATGGACCAAACTAATCACTTAATATTTTCTATACATATAGATATAGTTTATATATAATAATATTTATACCACCATAACCACCACCACAACATAAAAATAAAAAATAAATTATTATTTTTTTTTTAAATAATTAACTAGATAACTGCACACCAACACCAGACCACCACCACCACACCTAAACACCACAGTAGAAAAAAAAATTGAAAACAACCATGGCCAGTCAAAAAAAAAAAAAAATAGTTAAAGATTATGGTAGATAAATAGGTTTAATGATGAAGGTAGTTTTGTCAATTAATTGGGCTTATATTTTGTAAATTAATTGAATTAAATAATCAAGAGCAAATATGGTATTTGAAACCACTAAAAGTGTCATTGTTAAAAAAAAGTTATTGATCCGTTTTAAAGTGACATTGACCGATATCTCAATACAATTTACCCCATTTTTTATAATGTTGGCAACTTGATTTACATCAAACTATGTAAATTCAAATTTGGTAGAAACAAAAATATGGATACAATTTATTATTTTTTAGGGCAAGTTTCTAAAAACCCCTAAAACTATCAATAAGTGATCATAAAACCCCAACCTGTTTCTAAAAACCCCAACACTATTATAAAGTTATCACATTGCCTCAATATCCGATTCCGACCCGTTAACCGGGCTGTGAAATGACAAATTTAACCTTATCATTTAATGTTAAATTAAAAATAGAAAATTATTATTTATTAAATTACAAAAATACCTTCTCCTTTTTTTTTTTCTTTTCTTTTTTTTTTTCTTTTTTTCTTTTCTTTTTTGTTTCTTCTCATCATCATCTCCGGCAGCAAGAATATTGCCGGCGATGAAGCTAATCGCCGCCGGCAGCGACCAAACCAGGTCGTTGTCGGCTTTCTCTCATTCCAGCGAGGTCACTGGACTGGTCGCTGCTTACCATTGCTTATTTCTCATCGGCGGCCCAAGGTTGTACCCTTCTTCTACCGATCAACTAGGTTGCCAGAGCGCGACCTGGTGAGCACCATGGATGACGACCAGAATCTTTTCAAAATTGAGAGAAGAATGATTCACCAATGAAAAGTGTATGCATCAACGTCATGAAGATTTGACGATGACGCCATTGAAGCGCCGAATCTCGAAGTCACAGATATTAAGGAACCATCGAGAGATATGGAGAAGAGCGAGTGAAAATGCTACACGATGACTCACCCACCTTTCTCTTCTTCCACTATCTCATCGTCTTCATCTTTCTTCTCAGGGAACCTAATTTAAATGAGAGAGAAACTTTATGCTCTTCATAAAAAAAAAAAAAAAAAAAAAAGAGGCCCATCAGACTTGAATTTCAGAACATTCAATCACACGCAAGATTTGACCATTCCTCCATCTCAAGCCCAATCTTCCTCCTCTGTTTCTCACTCCAACGTACCCATTCTCTCTCTAGAATATCAAGGAACCCAATTCTTCCAATTAAAGGCTCAGAAGTTACAACCGCAACATAAGTAGAAGAAACAGAGTGTTGAGACCAGAGCAATGGCTTCAAACATAAACACGATTATGAAGAAAGAGTCGTTGATGAACCCAATCTGAAAAGTCAGCCTCTTCCACCGAAACCCAGAACTCCTGAACCTCCATGTCCACGAACTCTTCTTCCCCAGTCTCTTGAAGCTGAACCACGGCTTCTTCTCCATCTCTCTCTCTCTTTACTTTTTCTCTCTCTATATTTTGTGTTGGTGCAAATGTATGACATGTAGTTTGGTTTATTATACACAATACTGGAGCTATCTTTGCTTTGATTTCTTCATTGATACCTGGTTTGGTCGCTGCCGGCGGTGATTTGCTTCATCGCCGGCAGTATTCTTGCTGCCGGAGATGATGATGAGAAGAAACGAAAAAGAAAAAAGAAAAAGAAAAAGAATAGGATAGGGTATTTTTGTAATTTAAAAAATAATAATTTTCTATTTTTAATTTAACATTAAATGATAAGGTTAAATTTGTCATTTCACAGCCCGGTTAACGGGTCGGACTCGGATATTGAGACAATGTGATAACCTTATAATAGTGTTGGAGTTTTTAAAAATAGGTTGGGATTTTATGATCACTTATTGATAGTTTTGGGGGTTTTGAGAAATTTGCCTTATTTTTTATTATTGTGTGTGTGTGTGTGTGTTTTTTTTGGGGATAAAAATTCAATTATTACAAGAATGTTATACATACATATTTTTTTTTGGGACAGACAGCTAAGCTGAAACGACAGCAGACGAAAAAAAATAAAAATCGTCGCGGCATTACGAGGCCGAAGATGCAGCAGACACGTGGCGACTAAAAGAATCCGAGGACAGATCGACACGTGTCGAATCCTCACCTTAAAGACTCGTTACCTTTTCGATACAACCATCCATTGAATCTCCCAAAAACAGGACTCACCACGTGTCACCTTAAAACCTCCCCTTCCTCGCCACTTGTCCTTGTCACGTACTTTCGTTGTCTCCAACCAACCCCATTCTCGTCATTTCACAGTTCCCTCTCTCTCTTCCTCTCGTTTTCTTTGTTCTTTTTCTCTCTTCTCCTCTCTGTCTCTTAATTCAATTCAATCTCTCTCTCTCTCTACAATTATCTATACTCTATTCTCTCTCTATTCTTCATACCCTTTTCTTGTTTTTGGTTTTTCCGGCGAGTTCTAGCCGGAATCTTACTATTTTTCTCACTCCATTTTTTTTCTTGTTGCTAAAATTTTGAAATTTTATCTTAAGATGAGGTTAGTTTTCAAATTTCTGCATCTGGGTGTTGCTCAATCAGATCATGGAGTTGTTATATATGCGTCTTCATATCGATGGAGTTGAGTTTAATCATTATATATTTTGTCTATCTGTATTAATTGGTGGGTTTGTGATAATACCATGGACGAGCCTATTGAAAAGAAAACTAGCACTGGAATGGAAAGACTTTCTCTGCAAACAAACAGGTTTCCTAGAGATTTGTTGCAGAGTTTGATGGTTAGTGATACGAACAAATTTGTGTTGGGAAATACGACGAGTAACGAAGAGGATTCGGAGGAAATCGAGCTGAATCTTGGGTTATCATTGGGTGGGATGTTTGGTGTGGACAAGAGTGATAAGAAGAGGTTAATGAGATCTTCGTCGATTGCTGGGTCGATTCCAATTGGTAGAGACGATGATGCGGTGGCTCCGCGGCCACCGGTGCCGTATCCGACCCTGGTGAGGACTTCTTCGCTGCCGGCGGAGAGCGAGCAGGAGTGGAGGAAGAGGAAGGAGTTGCAGACGTTGAGGAGAATGGAGGCGAAGCGGAGGCGGTGTGAGAAGCAGAGGAGTTTGAAAATTGATAAGGACGGTGGCGGTGGTGGTGGCGGTGGCGGTGGAGGTGGTGGTGGTTTTGAGGAAGAAAGGAGGGAAACTGAGGGGATTTTGAGGGGGAGGATTGAGAGAGAGCAGTATGTGGCGACGGCAGCGAATAGGTTTGGTTCGTCCGTGGTGCCTGTGAGGCTACCAAGTTGGGCTGCTGCTGGTAGACAGGGCATAAATTCCGGTGGGATTGAGGCGGTGGCAGGGAAAGGGAAGGGGAATTTTATAGGTGGTGGTGGTGGTGGTGGTGGTGGTGGTGTGGAGGGGGTTGGGCACCCGTCGTCACAGGGTTCAATGGAATCACAAGGGGGAAGTTCTTCCGGGATGTCGGAATTGGAGAGTAAACCTCTCCAAGGTATCACATTTTCTTCCTCTGAATTCATTGTTCTTGTCTCACTGATTTTATCAATTTGATTTCTCCAACAACATTTAACTTTTATTAATTGCTCTTTATCCCCAAAAAAGAAAATAAGAGACAACCTTTAATTGCTCTTAACATATAGATTGGAATTTATGGTTGTATTGCCAAGCCAGAATTGAAATTTGTTTTAGAACTATAAATAATAAAATTTGGTTCTTTTGCTTGTTTAGTGATAGACTTCTTCTTTTTCTTTTCTAACATGTTAGTTAGAAGATAGTCTATTGACATTTTTGGTATCACCATTTCTATTCTCTATATTTTATATTTTCTTTTACATTTTCTCTGATTGATTATTGAGATGTTAATTCGCTCTGAAGATCTTCATTTTTTAACTTGCCAAAGATTTTGAAGTCAAGTATGATTAGGTACAAGGGAGGTGATATTCGCACTGCATTTTTATACTTTTGCACTCCAATCTTAAAGGAAATGACATCTCTAACCTTAATTTTAAAAATTAATAATTATTTTTCTCAAATATCACAATTACTCTTTTGCAATTATGGTAAGATCTTTTGGTCTCCCCCTCTTTCCCATTAACGTTTTTGGTATCTTACATTTTTTTTTTTTTTGTTAATCTCTCTTTTTCTCTTGCATCCGACCTTTTTCTAAACTCTTTCTATATTTTGCATTAACTTTCTATTATCTCTATTTTTAGGGTTTGATATTGAATTTTGTAAGTAATAATGAAATATGTCACAAATGAAAAAAATAAAAGAGTTAAAGAACGATGTAGTTAGTCTTGTTAGCATAAAAAAATATTGAATAACTATTAAAATTTCATGAACAATGACTCCTTTGATGATAATAGTGATGGGAATGGTAATTTGTTTTTTTTTTTAATTTTTCTTTTCTGTTTTATGCTTTGTGTTTATGTTTAGATTTTTTTTTTTTTTTTCCTAATATGATTATTAAGAATTAATTTGGATGGTGATGGGAATGGTATTTTTTAATTTTTTATTTTATGCTTTGAGTTTAGTTTGAATTTTTTTTTTCCTTAGATGTGATTTTTAAAAATTAATATAGAATTTATTTGAATATTTAATTTTATGCTATACTTTTTTTTTTTTTTAAGTTAACCCGGGGTGTCCGGGATGACACGAACTCTTAGGGCCCCTCAACAATCCGTCTAATCCCCGAGGACCCGGCAGGGCACCTCCTCACCCGGGTCGGGTAAGTCACTGCAGGGACCGCGGAGGTTAGCCATAAAGAACACCTAGTGAGACTCGAACCCCAGACCTTGGGCTTACTAAGTTCCAAAAACCAGCGAGTAAACCGTTGGGCCATATCCGAAATGGATATTTATGTTATACTTGTTGACAAAGGAAGTCCTAATTATTCTGATAATAAAATTAAAAGACTATGAATTTTGTGAAAAAAGAAAAAAAGTTAAGAAAGTAAATAAGGTAAGAAGAAAAAATTTATAGTGAAAAGGGGTAGATGTGGTATTATAAAATGAGAGAGGATGTATTAATGAGTTTAAGGACCTTCTTGTCATTTTCTTTAAAGAAAAAAAAAATGAAGTGCAATGGTACAAAAGTGGAGTGCAAATATCGCCTCCCTATAAAGGTTTCTCTCTTTGCAACTACACAAAAAAAAAAAAAAAAAAAGAAAAAGAAAAAAAAGAAATAGCAAACAGCCTTCAAATTGCTACAGCAAAACAAGGGATATATATATATATATATATAAGGAAGGGAGTGGGTGTATGCAAAAAAGTAATATGAAGGTCAATGTAGTTGAAGTGTTGGCATAGAACAAATAGCAATTTTAGACTACGTTGTAAATTAAAATATTAGATTGGAAAAGGTTCAAGTAACTTAAGACTAAGTGCAGAGGTCGAATACTAATTAAACATATTAAAACTGGCCATGTTGGCCAATAGAAGTTATAAGTAAATGGCAATGAGGATTTGTGTGTTGCATTAATAATAATTGAGCATAAAACAATCTTGTTACAATATATTGATTGATAGCTTAGTGAATCCTTGCCTTAAACCAGATAGAATATGCAACATTCATGTTTTAACTCACAACTCTAAAACAGAAACATTTTTCGGAGAACTACCAAAGACGATTCTTTGAATCTCAGCAGTTTTTTTACTCTTCAGATAATAGTTTTGGAAAACTGTAAATTAAACGAACAAACCCAAAAAACTGAATTAAACAGGCCCTGAGATTTTTATTACTGTGTCCTTCTAAGAATGAGATAAACTATACTAAAATGCACTTCAGTTAAGTTAAATCCTAACATTCCTTTGATATTTTGTTTCGTTTTTAACCAACCGGATTTGCACTTCACTTAAATTAAATCCTAACATTCCTTTCATATGTTGTTTTACTTTCAACCAACTGGATGTGTTTGCCACTTGATGTTCTTTAGGAGCTGACTTTAGTTTTTTATATACATTGTTCCAATTTAATTAAATGCATATACCAAATGTTTCGGCCGGGTTACAATATGTTCCCATAGGGGTAAATGGTGAGTAAGTTTCTTGCCAAGGGGAAAAAAAATAAATAAATATTGGCTTTGTCTTTTGGGAGTCGAGAAAGAACAAGCCAACAACACAAATCTTCACTTCTAGTTGAGTACATGAATACACTTCATTGTCTTGAAGTTCTTTGAACTTTCAATTTCGGATATCGAACATTCTGTTTTAGCATGCACCATTAAATGCTTCATATGTGTAGCATCATTTGATCTACAACAATTACATGTTTAAGGCCCATTATTTAAATAACTTCAGCTGTCTAGACAACTATGATCTTGAATATCGAGTACTGTGAAGTTTGTTAGAGTTTACTCCCTCCTCCTTATGGTCATTTCTATTGACAAGTGACTACTGTTTTTAGTTCTTACTAGTAAATTGCGATTTTGGTCATTAGATTTGGTTTCGTCTAGTGATCCCTCTTCATTTCTGGTGCTCCAATTTATGCTAGAGCGCAAGTCCTCAAAAAGGGTTTTCTGTTGGTCTTTGTTTATGGTATATTTGGCAATAATCCTTAATTATGATATTGTATGATTTTGTTAGCTTATTTTACTTATTGTCCAGTGTTTCAATTAACTGTTTCATCGCAGTGATATCTTTCTTATATAATGTAATATTCTTTGCGTTTTTTCGTAACATCGTTCAATATTTGGCCTTATATAGTCAGAGCATCAACCAGACTTGGACAAGATTTAGAATGGAACTGAGGACAATGTATGCAAAGATTTCAAAGATTGATGAGAGCTTGAGATTATTTATTATTTTTTACTTGCTGCCAAAATTTTAGAATGTTAAGCCATTATATTAAAAAATGTGTGCACTTGTGAAAATATGAATGTAATGGCAAGAAAGGACTGGAGGAGTTTATTTTATCTGATTTTGTCATGTAAACCAAGAACTAATGAACGTACTAGTGAGGATGAGTTATGTGGTTTAAGTTGAGAACATCACAAAGGTAGGAGCAAGGCCAACAAGTATTGAGCTTTCAGAAGTTGTGTTGACCTTCGATTTAATGAAATATTAAATGGTCGTAAGAGAATTTAATTGCCAAAAAAGATGTGTTGTTCCAAGCCATAGGCTACGCTGACTCAAGTATTAAGCTGAAATCCTGATATTGTTGAAAATATAAAGAAACTTGTAATGCTAGTATGTGACATTATAAAGATATGGATTCCCGGTATTTGAGAAATTGAACAATCTCGATTAGTTTAAGAAATATGGGGAAAATTGGGAATTTGTTAAAAAGCATCACTCCTTTTTCTGCTGCTGCTCTACTTTCTTCTCCTTTTCTTCTCGTATTAGTTCTATATATATATATATTTATAAATGTTTAGTTTTCAATTTCTCTTATATTACTAGCATAGTTTGTAATCCTTTGGGCAAAGTTGTTTTAGTTTTTCTTCTTCGAGTGATAGGTAGGGTGTGCTATTTAATGATAAACACTATACATCACATTCTATGTCTAGATTTTCTGCATTGCAAAACATGTGCAATATGATGAAATTTAGACTCTGCACAATATACACATAAATGAATATCTTATATATTTGATCTGAACTTATTCGTTTACAATGTTCGTTTATATAATAGGATCTAGTAGTTTCGGTGAAGCAAGTCCTGCTAGCCGTCAATCTTTCCAAGAGCGAGGCAACCAGGATACTGTGGGTTCTTCTGGAACAAAGACGAGGGAAAATGATAGTAAAGTTTCGGTAGCTGAGATAGCAAGTCCGTCTAAGAGACCAAATGTTGCTGAAAACAGAGGAAGGGAAGGAAAGGAAGTGGGAGTGAAGGGAATTGAAGATATGCCTTGTGTTTTTACGAAAGGGGATGGTCCTAACGGGAGAAGAATAGATGGGATTTTGTACAAGTACGGGAAGGGAGAGGAAGTGAGGATAATGTGTGTATGTCATGGTATTTTTCTCTCCCCGGCCGAGTTTGTCAAGCATGCAGGTGGTGGAGATGTAGCTCATCCACTAAAGCATATAGTTGTAAACCCTAATTCTTCTTTCTTGTAATTGTGATGCAACCACCCTAAAAAAAAAAAAAAAACAGAGAGTAAAAACGTTTCCGAGGATAATTAGTTCTTTGTTTATTTTTGTTCTTTCTTTTTAAAGATTAAATATTGAATGATCAATCGTAATGCTTGATAGAGAATGTTTGTGAATGTTTAGAAGAAAGAAGGTTTAAAAGAAGAGAGAAGAAATTAGGGCGTTAGATAAAAAAAAATGGTTATAAAAAGAATAAATTCTGGTTTTAGGGTAGTTCACTCTTGAAATAAGTTGTGTATTTCTGTAGCATATAAGAAAATTGTAACCAGACTCTATTGCCCTTGTACATGGGTAATCAATGATATGCTCTCACAATTTATGGCAATTTAAAGTGGTTGAATGTCAAGGCAATCCTCATAGTAGCATACATGACATTAGTTAAGTACTATATTTCATCCACCAATGCTCTACCACTTCTTTCGTCGTGTTAATTGTGCCGGCATCCTGCATCACCAGTACAACGCACTATATTGTAGAGCAATAGTCTCGTAACAAAGTAGAATATCATGAAATAACAATGTAACTTAGTTGTTACATTAGTGATGTAAAGTTGTTGCATAGGTAACGTAAAGAGACAAGTTGTTGCATAGGAGAAGATCTGGATTCGGTAGAGCAATGCACTATATCGTAGAGCAATAGTTTCATGACAAAGTGGAATATCATAAAATAACAATGTAACGTAGTTGTTACATAAGCGATATGAAGTTATTGTATAGGTGACGTAAAGAGACACAAGTTGTCGCACATGAGATGATCTGGATTCGGTAGAACATAGGATGGTAGCAGGTTATCTTTACACACACAGTGTAGTGATTAACAATTTGTATAGTTACTTTCACATCTAACAATTTGATGATCCCTTTAGAATTGAGGCTTCTCGAGTCAAGTTACTGCAGTTGTTTACCTTTGCAGAAACAAAAAAAAAAAAAAGAAAAAAAAAGTTTAATATGATGACATTCTGTTCCTGAAACACAAAGGTAGTGTTACCAAACTGCGCCAAATTTCTTCAATCTGTCCTACAGTCATTGTAGAAAATTCCTGTGTTATTTTCCGCATCGTTATTTCCTCCATTAGTAATTTTAAGTATACACATACAACGTAAAACAAACGAACTTTTGATACTTGAATATTCAACTCCAGCTACAGGAGAACCAGGAACAAAGAGCTTTCCCCTCCTATTTGGCCCGACCTTTTGGTCTTAAGAATGCTGGTTTTAAGAATGAGTAGGTAAAGTTCTGCTCAGGCTACTGTATACTAGAGAACGAGTGTGATCATGTACCATATCTATGAACGTGATCAAAATTGTGCAAGCCAAAACTTTGTTACGCAGGGGCTTTCTTTGAACCATAGTTCACAGAAAGATCAGTTCCTGATGAACATTGTAGAAAATAGGCATTCAGGATTGTACAAAATTAGCCATTTGAATAGGAAAATCAAGCTATATGGGCAGCCAAACCTTACTAATCGTTAGCATGACTACTGATTAGAATGCATTCCATTCTCTGCACTTTCGCATAGCCTGAAAAATCGAAAAGATGAGACCAGGGAAGGGACAAACAGTTGAGAACTTTAGGACTCTATGAGGAGGCAGCATTGCTAGGGTTTCACATGGGTTTGACGTGTCCGACAGAGTCACTTCAAATCACATAACCTGCAATACTCTCATCAAAATTCAAAACGTCGATTATAAACATGCAAAAAGTATATCTGACATGGCTCAAAATGCTAAAAAGGGAATATTATTGTTAGTAGCAAGTAATGAGTTCACCTTCAGAAACCAAGTTTATTAAGAAACCGAAAATCCTGATTACCCTACTGGCAACATGCAAAAAGGTTCAGCCAGAATAACAATATATCATTCGAAATGAACACCGATCACCAAGTTTTGAACAACAAGAGGCACGAAACAAAATAATTTCTAAGACTAGCAATTCAAGACTCACTGAAGATTAGATGAATCCACCACAATGTCAAAGTATCTATAGTCAATCAACATGCTCAACACTGCCATATTGTAAACATGAAACATCAGCCTAATTCATTTGATATAACACAACTGCCTGCAAAGCTCGAGAATCCAATTAGAAAAGGTTGAATTTATTTTATGAACTACAGGCATTTGTGTGATTCTTCAGTATCCTTGGGCTTATATCCAAATTGTATAATGATCTTATCATATACCAATATTCAGCTCAAAAGACCAAGATTCATATCATTATATTACTTAATTGTTGTCCTGCAAGAAGTAAAAAATGGCTGCAACAGAGAAACCACAACCTTGGAGCAAAATTTGAGAGATGCATGAGACTGGGTGCAAAATTCCAAATTACAAGTCTGCTTCACCACTTGATATTTGAATGTAACAATCCAGGAGCCTCATTATCTGGCTAGCTTGAAGGAGGTTGAAGTTGCTTCAGCCGTTGGACAACTCGCTTCATTGTAGGCCGGGTAGAGAAGCTATCAGCAGTGCAACTAACAGCCAAGTGCAGCACGTCCACCATGTTGTCATGCGGACCAACATCCCATAGACCAGCAGTGAAGACCTCCTTCGCCTGACCTTCTTGTAGTAGCATGCATGCCCATGAGACGATATTAAAACCATCATGATGTGTAGCAAATGAAGGATCCAAAGCTCTTTTATCTGAAATCAACTCAAGCAGCAATACGCCATAGCTGTAAACATCTGCCTTCTCAGTTACACGACATGTCAGAGCATATTCTGGTGCTACATAACCGTATGTTCCTGCTACACCAGTTGTTGCATGGGTTTCGGAAATTCCTAGAAGTCTAGACAACCCAAAGTCTGACAAATAAGCCTTGAAGTCATCATCCAACAAAATATTACTCGGCTTGACATCACGGTGTAATACACGTGGATTACACTCGTCATGCAGATAAGCAAGTGCACTGGCAATATCTAGAGCAATCTTGTGAATTATTTTCCAGCTAACAGCTCTTTTGGCTCTTTCCTTGATAAATTTTTCCAAATTACCTCCTGGCAGATAATTATAGATGAGGAACATCTCTGCTTCACTGACATGGTAACCTATCAAAGTTATGAGGTTAGGGTGTCTTATCCTTCCAAGGGCCGTAATCTCAGCATGGAACTGTGGAATACCTTGGCACCTTTCCATTGTAAGCCTCTTTACAGCCACTATGGATCCTGGACATATTTCGGCTTTGTAAGTGGCGCCAAAACCACCACTGCCAATGCAGTTGCTTGCATTGAAATTCCCTGTCGCCCGAACAACATTTTCAAAGGTCAATACTACCCCCATGTCATGGAAAACTATTATTTCCCCTGTACTAGAGATGGAAGGTTCTAAAACTTGAACCCTAGAATTTGGTACCCGTTTTCTTATGTAAAAGAAGAGGATGACAAGAGCCAGAAGAACAGCAGCAATGGCTGATGCAGACACTATGGATGCAACCTCAATAGAATTAATTCCTTGTTTCCCACTCCCAGAGTCACTTTCGGATTGAGAAGCTGAAATATTTTGTGACTCACTGCCACCATGCAGTCCTGAAGGTGATACAGTAAGATTGTTTACACCAAAATTGTGAACCATTAAAAATCTGGAACCGGAAAATGGCAAAGGCTTTTCAAAGCAAGCTTTATATGTAAAGAACAATAGATAAGCAATGGATGGGTTGTAACACCGGAAAAGATCCGATTCCAAGGAAGGTATATGAGAGCAAATGCTGTCATTAATATTAGGGATTGATCCTGACATGAGGTTTTCATTAACATCAAAGACAGCCATACCAGGAATTGGAAGTTTTCCATTAAGCTCCCCAGTGAGCCTGTTTGAGCTCAAATTGAGAAAATGCAGGTTCTTGCATGCTCCAAACACCCCAGAGAATTCTCCAGTAAAAGAATTCTGAGCTAAGTTCACCATTTCTAAGCTATGACAACGACCCCAATTGCTCGGAAACTTGCCTTCAAGATTTGCATTTGGAGCCCAAACAATTTGCAGCTTTGGAAGCATCGTAATTTCCACAGGAATGGATCCTTGGAAAGAATTATAATCATTCCTCGCAGATCTAGGTAATCCAAACGCCGCCTCTCCACCTAGTGGATCAAAAAGACTTGACAGGACAAGAACCGACAATCTGACACAATGTCCAAGCTCCACAGGGATAGGACCACCAAGGGTATTCCTCGAAACATCTAGAACCTCAAGCCTTGAAAGCCGACCAAGCTCACGAGGAATAGCACCATCCAACAAATTCGAAAACAACAGAAGTGTCTGTAATCGACTACAATTTCCCAAACTAGGCGGAATTTTCCCCTTTATGAAATTACCGGACAGATCGATATGTTGAAGATTCTGACATTTAGTTCCCCATTCATACGGAACCAAGCCAACTAACCGATTAAATGACAAATAAAACCCTTTCAACTTAGAAAAAGTACCAACAAACTCAGGAATCGTACCATTCACTTCATTTCCAGCTAAATTTAATATCCTTAAACCCCTACATTTTGAAAGTGAAATAGGAATCTCCCCGGAAATCCTATTAAATCCGAGGTTAAGAATACACAGTTTCCTCAAACCCTTGAATTCATGGGGCAAATTCCCAGAAATGAAATTCCCCTCAAGATCAAGCACTTCAAGGTTCCTTAAACCCCAAATTTCACTAGGAATTTCATTAGCTATTTCATTAAACGGAAGCGATAAAGTCCTAAGTTCAGTGAGCTTCCCAATCACAGGGGACAAATTTCCACCTAATTTCCCACTTCTACCAGAACAATTTCTTCCAATTCCAAAGCCATTAAATGTAACAAGCGAATACTCGGAACAAGAAGATGAGTGACAGTGATTACCTCCATTGCAGCCACTGCCGGCTATTCTGATCGACGAAACCCTAGAATTGGAGTCGCATGAGACGCCGGACCACGAACAATAGTCGGAACCGTCGATTCTCCAGCTGGAGAGAAGCCCGGAAGGGTCAGAGAGGGACTGCTTGAACTGGAGAAGAACTATTTTCTCGGAGAACACTTTCCCGGAAACTGCAGAGAGAAAGCAGAACAGCAAAAACCCAGAAAATATGTCTAGGGTTTTAGTAAACAGAGGGGGGTGGTGCTTACCCATTTCAGCCAAACAACACAAATTCAAAACAAACACTTTTTTTCTTTTTTCTTTGCTTCTTTAGAAAACAAAGATTTAAATTTTTGAAAAAATAGACATATACTATATATGTGTGTTTCTATATATAATTATATAGAGAGAGAGGACTTTAGAGAGAGAGAGAGAGACACACACACACACACAGAGGAGTTTTCTTCTTGTTCTGGTTTATCTGGGCAATGTCGTCTCTCTCTTTCCCTCTCCATATTTCAGTTTTTTCTACTTTGAGTGTTTATGGGGTCCACAGGGACCCAGTAGAGTTAAAAGGCCAGCCAATGGGGACCGCGTGGCGGTCAATAAACGCATCAGCGGTCAGCTCGTCAACACATGGCGGCTAGTTGTTTGACTTAGATTTAAATAAAAAAAGGTCCTCGTTTTGCTCACCCACTTTTTCCAATCACTGTGCGCCACGTGGAGTAACGTTCTCTACGCGTTTAAATTCATCATTCATTGCAAATTTGTAACGGTTATGGGGAGGATCTAAAACGATGTTGTTAATAGTGTGAATCCTAAAGTGAGGTTGGAGTGACAGTCTGCTGACTTCACCATGACGTAATTTTAATAGCAATGTTACAGTGAGGGTGCTCCCATCACGAATTTTATGCAACAAATAATTGATTAGTTATAGTGAATTGATTTTTGCATTGAATAATTATAATGAATGACTTAGATTTACTTTTATAATTGATCAATTATATATCAAATAAGAAAAATAAAATTTTATACTTAATTGTATTTAATATAAATAATAAAAAACGTCAAAATACTTTTTAAAAATTTTATAAAAAAAAATACAAATTACAATTGGAATTGCAAAACATTAATTCTTGAATATGTGGGGGCCCCACACAAGATCCATCAATAGAAATGTTAAAATGAACAGATTAAAGTTTTAGCTCACATTGAGAGCCTCCTTCTATATTAAGTATTAACCATAACACTTTCAAAAATTTAGGATGTGTTTGGAATATCATTCCGAGGATTACGTTCCTAACAATTTATCCAACTATTATAATTTCATCTTCATCTTCATCTATTTTTTGAAATCGAGTTTATTTTAGTTTTACTTCTTCTAGAAAAGCAAAACTTTAATTATCTGTTTTTTTATGTTGAATATGAGATTTTTCTTATAAAAACTAAAAAATAGTAAATCAAAGAACCGCTTTCCTCTTTAATTTTTAAATCAAATGTTTTATTTCTATACTGTTTCTCTCTATTTTTGAATTGATATTTTTAATTTTTTATGTGGGTCACTATCAAAATGTAGCTAGCATTAAAATTTACGATTATACAAGATCAGTCTTTAGATCTTTTGAGTTTCACAATGGAACCCACAAATCCAATGACTGAGATAGCTTAAGTTTTTATTTATTTTTAAGTAAACTACACATCTACATCAAACAATTCAATAATGATATGGGATATTCATGGGGCAGAACTTTTGGCCATAAGATATTAATCGCTGTATATCATTGAAAGGAAAAACTGAACAAGTGTGACTTTGTCAAAATTAGTATTTAAATACATAAGTTCTGTTTTCTTAGTATCTAGCTTTTTACTTGGTCACTAATATCATAGTTGATCGGATCAATATTTATATCACGGGAAGTTATTGGGTACCTGCAGGGGCGGAATTAGGATTTTAATTCCGGAAAAGTAGTGTAAAAATAAAATAAAATTATATGACATAAAGATCCTTGAAATCAAAGGGCAAAGAAGAAAGGAAACAAAAAAAAAAAATCATTGCAGACTTACTATGATTTTTGTTAATACTTTCATTGAATAGAGTTGTAAATCTTAGTGTTTTGGAAAACCGTGTATGAAATTACCCCTACTAACTTCATAAAACTAGAGAATTAAATTTAAATAAGAGAAATAAATAAAAAGAATAATAAGATGGGAAACAAAGTTACATACTACAAGGGGGAAAAAACGAAAAATTTTAAGAAGCAGGAAAAGAAAAATGAGAGATATTTAACAAAAAAAAAAAAAAAAAAATTAGAGTCTAATTGAAGAAAGAAAATTTAACTTATCTTTTAAGAAAATTAAAGGAATCTAAAAAGTAAAGGAGAAAATTTTAAAAATTAAAAAGTTTAGGGGGTATTATATAGAATTTTTTTCCATATATATAAACAATCAAAAAAATTATCTTATATTTATAGATGGCGGGGCCAATTCAGGAGGCACGTGCCCCTCCTAGCCTTAAGTGGCTCTACCCCTGGTACCCGGATAGTGGTTACTAAATACTCGGGCAAATCAAAACATCTCATTTTCTATCATCAAGATAAATGAGATGTATTGACTGACCGGAATATTCAATAATAACCACCCAAGATATTTTTATATATTTTTCCCGGTATCAAAAACAAGTCAAAGGTAAGGATTTGATACTGTTTGGTTATAGACCTTTTATTTGAGAAATCAATAAACTAATTGACCAAAATGTGTTAAATTTGAATCAGTCTACCTAATGTATGTCTGATCCCAGTTCCTGCGCTGGTCTATTTATGAAGTCACAATCACATTATCAAGAACTTCAACAACTAAATATTCTGGCAAATTTTTTTTTTTTTTTTCAATTGCTAACATATTTTAAATCATCTCCAACTGTCCAACATATGTACAAAAATAACCAGCAAGAACACAATAGATTGATTGAGAGAATCAATCTTGGCTAAATTACTATAGTAGCATATACAAAAGTTACAGCTCAATCGGCAAAAAATAGATGGAAGTTGCATATTTGGTTCAGTTTAAACCCTACAAGTACTGTGTCCGATTCCCGTTCCCTATTTTGTCCAATGTTACAAATTTAGTTCCAAAAAGTCCTCCATCATAGCCTCCCTCGGCACTTTTTGATTTTCTTGGAACTTCGAAATAACTAGAAATGATCGTGTAATGGAACACATCATCTTACCACAAGGATGGGCGAGGAGGGCATTTTTAACAGGGGCCGAGACAGGGAGAAGGAGGCTAACGATATTTGAAGCACTCTCTTTCTCAGCAGGAGTTTGAGCAAGCGGGAAACAAGAAATTTACTCGTTGGAAGCCACACATAGAGCACTTTGAAGGCCGGTCACTTTGAATGCCACGGCTCAGGTTCCCCCTTTACTGAAACACTTGTTTCCCTCAGCTATCAAACTGCAATGAACCAAAAGAAATGACTTCACTGTGTTTTTTAAAGCAAGAATGTTTCCGAAGAATGCATTAACATCTATGAATGTAACTGGAGAATGGGGAATGGGGAACGAGCAAAATACAAAAATCAAACAAATAAAAGAGTTAATGCAAAAGAGCTAGAAACAAAAAATAATAACAGATTTTCTATTTGCTTGCGAGATGATGTAAAGCTTGGCCATGTACGGTATCAGAAAGCCCACAATGCATTTTCATTTTTTCATTGGAAATTACATGAGCAATAATTTGTTTCTTTCCTTCTAATGATGTAATGGCATGAATTTTACTTTTTTCTTTCTCGGGGATTAATTGCATGCTACTGAAATCAAACGCTTACAATTTTTGCGTGCATTTGCACACAAATATACATGTAGGAGTTCATTTGGAATTTCTGTTTTTCTTAAATTTTCATATGCAAGGTAGATACTCCTTTGTTTACCTAGTCTCATTATGTTAATGACTGTATAATCCAATGAAATAAGAAAAGGAAGAAAATTGACCAAAGTTTGATTTTGTCTAAACTAGTAGTTAAGCACGTGAACTTTTCTATTAACCAAGTCACAGTCATCCAGAGATGGAGGTTCTAAAAAGTAAATAGTAAAATAATAAAATTTCAAACATCTATCGTTGAGAGAATATAAGATGCAGATTTCAAACCATGTGAGGAGGGGATTACGAAATAGTATGTAGGTAATTAAATATTCACTTTAAAATCCACTTACAGCTATAAACCAACAAATGTGATCTCCAAAAAAAATATATAGATAAAAGAAAATTTTATTAGGACCAAAAAAAGAAAAGACTGTATTTTTATTATATGCTCATTGATTCAATGATGCTGTAGCAAAGACACTAATCTGATCAGAAGATCAACCCACAAATCTATATCTCTAGATCACATACCAGTCAAAATTGCCTATAAAGATTTAATGCTAGTTGTATGTTTATAAATCTATTTCGTTTGTGAAATGGAAACAGTTGAATGACCATGTGTATTACAATTTAAGAAGCTCTATCGCAGTGTACGATCCCATTTCCTATTGATGGATAGTATTCCTTTAAGGTAGGTCGATATGAAGTCATAATTCCATTACCAAGAAAAGAGTTAGGCAGTCAGTGCTTTTGTGTTTAAACTAAGGTGCCTCTTGTACTAAGATGAAGTGACTTGCTCGCATGTGATTTTTTTTAGTGTGGTAAAGTAGCAGACTAATACATTGATGTATGCTAAAAAAATATTAAAATCAAACAAAAATAACTTACCCATCAATTTTCAGCAAATTATTTTGCACGCCTTGCTCGATGGACTTGACCTCAACCTAGACCTTTACCAAATACTGAAAAATAAAAAAATAAAAATATTTTACCTGAAAAAGAAAAATATTTTCCAAGGTTTACGTTGAAACAAACGGAGCCGTAATGTCTGAAGTGAAGTATTTGCTTATTTGGGTGGTTGTGGGTTCTGCACTGACAGCAGAATGTGGACTTGGCATACTTATATTGAGTGCTTCTTGCAACATTTTTCAGATTATAACATAATTTATAAACTATATAAACACCAACACACTACGTACTACATACTAGATTGAGAAAATCAATTGCTACTAAATTATCAGTGTATCAAATACAAATTTAAAGCACTGTTGGAGATAAATAAAAGATGGAGCTGCTTATTTGATTCAATTAAACACTATGAGAATGGTGTACAAGTTTCTTCCCCCACTTCATCCAACAATATTAATTTAGGTGTAAAGTTTCCCCAATGATAGCTTTCCTCAGAACCTTTTGTTACGAAAGTTGGAAGGAACTAGCACTGATTGAGCTATGGAACCGAGTAAGCTGTGAAGATAGACAACATGTATGAACCTAAGACTGGATGAAGAAATTATCATTTCGACCGACCAGAAAAAAGCAACAACAAGCTATGAGCCTTTGCAGTTTGACAGGACTAATGATAATGACGATTGAAACCATACAATAAATTTGGGGGAAAATCCCATATTGTCCTAAGTTCTAAGTAAACAAATGATGGATTAGGCGGTTATTTTGAATTGGGGCTGGAAAAGATAGAAGGATGCTTACAATGTTTGAAGCACTAACTTTCTTAATGACAAGCGCATGATGAACACGAGAAGCAAGAAAACCACTTGCTCAATTTGGAGGCTGGTGGCTGTGAACGCTGCCTCTCATGTTCCCCCTTCACTGAACAACTTGTTCCCCCATCTGTCAAACTGCAATGAACCAAACAGAATAATTTCAACGCATTTGTAAAGCAGGATGGACAAGAACTTGGTAATACCCTTTTTACATTTGTAAATCAGGAATGCCACTCAAGAATGCATTATGGTATGTAAGGTATATGACATTATAACTGGAGAGGAATACACAGGCATACTGGAAACATCAAACAAAATAAAAGGCAACAATAGTTAATAGTAAGAGATGCATATAGAACAAAATTTTCTATTTCTTGACAAACAATAAAGAGTGTGTGTGCATATACACACACGCGCGCACACACACACACATAAAAAATATGGAGAGAGAGAGAGAGAGAAGCATACCTACAGATTTTTTTCCGTCTACTGTTCCAACAGCAGCAGAACGTGCAGCTACAATTCGAAAAGGAGCAGCAGCTTGGCCATTTACAGCAGCAGCTCGACAACTTACAGCGACAGCTTGGCCATTTACAGCAGCGACAGCTTGGCCATTTACAACAGTGACAGCTTGGCCACGTACAGTGGCAGCTTGGCCATTTACAACAGTAACAGCTTAGCCATTTACAACAATGACAGCTTGGCCACTTACAGTGGCAGCTTGGCCATTTACAGCAGCAGCTCAGCCCCGTACAGCAGCAGAACATCCAGCGACAGATACAACAGGAAGACTTCTTCTTTCTGCAGAAAACAAGTAGTTGCCTCATCCAACGTCTAGAAATTCCATATAAATATGCACATATGAATGATATGCATGTATAAATGTGGGAGGAAAAAAAAGGCATATCCAGTTTTCATGCACATATTGATACTCATACAAACACACATATAAGCATGAGCATGTATTATAAATACCACAAGAAAAACAAAAAAAATTCATTCTAATGTACACGTGAAAGATGCATAATTGCATACATAATTCCAGTTCATCCATATTTATGTCCTTGTGCATGCGCAATTCTGCATAAAATAAAGCAAAATGTATATGCTAAACAATAACAAAATAAATGAATCATTTTTCTCCAATTCTTAAAAGATAAAGAATGGCACTTACTTCGGATTGGCAAAACACTTGCCGCTATTCATGTCCAAAGGTCGGTTGGTGTTGGAGGAATTACAGGACATCTCTAGAGAAGGTAGCTTCTCCTCACGATGATCATTTGCAGTTCCTCTTGGACCATTCTTCAAGATTTCATCTCCTACTCCAATTGCTAGGTTTTCTGCATCGACAGTACTGTCTCTCTCCCTTCCTACTGCTGCTCGAGGGGATAGCCTCAAACTAATCAGCTCGCTAGACTTGAGCAGTTCGCCAGACTTGTCCAACTCTCCAGACTTGGGCAAGTCTCCACACATTTCAAGAAGATGGTCTCTAGTCAAACTATTGTTCCCAATATGGAGGCTGAACAAGGACTCATTGGAAGTAATACTCCATTCTGTCAGTGTAGGGGATTGACAAGCAAACACAGATGATGGAATCCTAGAAGGGTCGTAACCTCCAGCTCTTTCCATCACTTGAATAGGAGGAGATTGCTTTGGTGACATACTCTGCAATGTAGATTCATGGGTGACACAAGAGACTGCTGAGGCAGTATCTGTATATCCACTACGTCCTGATTTAGTAGAGGAGTCACTAGAAGCATCTCTTATGAATTCTTCTTCATGTGGTTTAGAGATGATAGCAGTGGATGCGGTAGACTTAAAAATCAGTTTTGGGTTCATTTGGAAGAGATCTTCCCCCAAAGAGTCTGATGAAGACGAAATCCTCAACTTCTTGGCCGGGGCAAGTGTACCTACATTTGCAGAAATCGTTGGATCCATTCCTCAAGGCTTATTGCTTCCACTTTCCTTACAGGAGTCTGTAAATGGCAATATTAGTGAGCCAAATGCATGACCTCCACCAGGAACTGCATATGTTCTTGAATGCTTATTGCTTCCACCCCCATGTTCAGAGTCCATAATTGAAATCATGGATGAATATTTCATTTAAGTACGGCTTATGTAATTTCATCATAGTCCATCCATGCCATGAAAAAGACAATATTTCCATTTTGATTGCATGTACGAAGGATATATAAAGTGTGTCCTTAGGCTTTTCATGTTGAACTACTACAGTAATTGGTAAAGTTGAAATGTTGAAGATGAAAATAATACATTCAATTAACAGAATGCATACATGCAGGAAAACATAAGGTCAATTACCGTTTGCAAAAAAACAAAAAAAACAAAAGGTCGATTAATTCTGAAAGATCACGATGCTCTAAGTAATATACCATCCAATCAACAAAGGAAAAACTAGCACAATTCTTAAGTATGGTAAAATTGTTGTGTTCTCTATCTAGGGAAGAGAAATAAAAATTATATTGAATAGTATGGCAATTTCACTGAAGTTCATTGCATAAAAATAAATTTTTTTAAAAAAATCTAAAGAATTTTAGAAATGTAGATATTCTTGTACTTGCTAAACTGATTTGTTCAGAGCCCAACAAATAAATAAAGAAAATAAAATAAGGGAAGAACAAAACTACCCAACTGTATCATTTAACAAGAGTTTCTCGCTTCATGCTGCCTTTAAGCTATTGTGCTATGCATTTTTCTTAAACCAAAAACAGCCTCGCACCGATGTCATGATGCTATCCGTAAGCAATTATGCCCTTGATTTCTCAAAATTCAATACTCATTCGCGCAATTACATGCAAGCTACCATTACCATAAAATCGAAGAGTTCAATTTCTTGAATTGATGCCGATAAGGGAACTTATTTGCTCAATTTCATTACTGATTAAACTTCTAGTGTTTACTTTCTTCCCTTTAATCATCCATAAAAGAAGGGTTTTGGAGAGATAAGCAATAAAGAATAAAAATCCAATTGACTAAGAGCTAAATCTAGAACACCATAGTCATCGACACAAAACATGTCAAAATTCAATACCCATTCACACAATAACATGCAAGCTACCATTACCATAAAATTGAAGAGTTAAATTTCTCGAATTGATGCCGATAAGGGAACTTATGTGCTCAATTTCATTACTGATTAGACTTCTCGTGTTTACTTTCTTCCCTTTAATCATTCCATAAAATTAGGGTTTTGGGTAAATTTTTTTAGAAAAGAGATGAGCAATAAGAATGAAAATCCAATTGACTATGAGCTAAATCTAGAACACCATAGTCACCAACACAAAACCTAGTTAAGAATTTTACCTCATTCCCACCCTTTCAATTTTGTTGATGCCCTGTAAATTTAGCCGCCCAAAGTTGAACTTGCCGGAAGCGGCTCCGGCAATTGGGGGCTATTTTTTTGCCCCTCGTCAATCTACAAAGTACCCAACAGAAGTAAACAATTTTTTAAAAAACATACAAACACACACTGTCAACAAACTTAATTGCACATAGTAAAACATCTGGATTTATTACAAGATATATCATGGAATAACAATTCCAGAACAAAAGGAAAAAAAAAAAAAAAAAAGCTAACTAAGATTCAGGAAAAAAAATGTGATTGAACTTGAAAGAAGAAGAAAAAAAAACTGATGATTATTAGGAATTACCTGGATTCAAACTGTTGAATAGCTTGTTTTTAGGTTCTTGAAATTGATATTTTGATATAATTTTTTATATGTTGGGAGGGTTGGACTAAATCTAAGGGTAACAAAGGGGAAATGGATTAGGGTTTTGGGAGATATATCTGTGGATTTCTATAATGACGGAAGGCTTAGCTATACTTTCGGAGGGTTTTTTCAGATTCCATATTTAACTAATTCTTGCTCTATTTCGCGCCAATGACCAACTGCTTTCTCACGCCCTCACGTGGATAAATATCATGGTTGCCACGTCAACAAGGGAGGAGTGTTTTTTTTGTCATATTATCCAATGTGTGGGGGTAAAAAGGAAAATGTATCTCAAAGCCTTTCCGTATCTTTGTTGAAGCTTGTTTAGGGTTACAGCGAGAGGGGTCTTGCCACATAAGAGACAGACAGATAAATGAATCGATATACATGGCGAGTGTGCATCAAGAGGTCAGAAGGTACGCATCTAACCCATCACAGCTGATATTAGCATCTAACCCATCACAGCTGATATTAGGGTAACACTTTATCTGTAATTTAGTGTCACACAATTCTTTTAAACAAGTGTCACTATCACGTTTTACGAGCGCACAAGACCAGAGAAGGGAACCAGGGGAGTTGGCTAGGGCCTCCAATTTGGAAAGCCTTCAAATTTAGAATTATAATGCAAAAATATTAGTATGTGTCAAATATTCAGGTCATAATTTTCATAATAAAAACACAATACATACTTATATATCATGTAAATTTATGGCAATAAGTAAATTTTAAAATATATATATATATATAGATATATATGTCAATAAAAACACATGTACTTATAATATAAATTTATTATATATGTTATACAATAATTTGTTTGGTAACAATAATTTGTTTCTACCCACTCCCTTCAAAAGAAAAAAAGAACTTTTTATATTTAAACTCATAAACTGATTTATTTTATTATTTTTGGGCTTATATGCATGCATGGCAACCTCTGTTAATCCCAGTCCAAATAACCAAAATTTTAACACAGGGTGCAATCAACGTACTGTCACATTTTCCAAAATAACCTTGTAAGATCTCCTAAAATATGACATGGTTTCTGAAGTACAAGTCTTCAGAGAAACTTTACCAGAAGGCAAAAAAAAGTTGATATATTGAAGTCTTTAATTTTATAAAAAATGTTTAAGTTATTATTTTTTAAATGCTTGGATTGTATATAGAATATTATTTTATATCCCTAATTACAGTTTGATAAGAGAAAATTTTCAAAGTTGAAGTTGATCAAATCAAACCTACGGTCGGCGATGTCATAAGAGGATTGAATGAATTGGCTATGATATCTATGGAAAATGATATGTTGGGAAAATTTGATTGGAGCACTTTAATTGATAATTTTACAGCTCAAAATGCAAAACGATCATATTTACTTTGATATTAAGTTGAATTTTGATTTTTTTGACTAAGTTGTGTTGAATTTTTTGATGTAAACTGGATCGTACTCTTTATAAAATACCAAGATCGGGTTTTGTTTATGTTTTCAACATTAATATATTTTATGTGTTTATCATTTTATTTAAATGAAAATTTCGCACTCTTATAAATTTTTTGTTGGGTGTGAAACCTTATAAAGGGCCTCACTTATTGAAAGTTCGCTTAGGGCCTCTCAAAATTTTGGAAATCTCAAAGCTAGCCCTGCGCGCACTCCTACTCCCGCTTTATGTGACTTAGATTATGCTATGCTCGAACGTGTCTGAGTCTGGGCCAAGCCGACCACAATAAGGATGTTGTGAGTTCAGATAAGGAGAATGTTAGATGAGTCTTGTTCACAAGTGTTGTGTAAAGTTTTTGACTTTATCTATATATTTAATTAGTAAACAATGACTTTTTCCACTGTGGGGCCCACCTGTGATATAAGGGTCATTACAGACCCATTTAGTTTCCAATTTGCTTTTTCTCTCGGACAGCTTAAGTCTCTCTCTCTCGCGCTGCTTCTGTCTTTTTCTTTTCTTTTTTTTCTTTTTCAACTCCAATCCTTGATTTCTCTCTCAATTTTTGGCGGATTAAGGTGCCGTTTGAGGTAAAACGAAACCCACTACGAGCTCTACGCATCCATACGAACAATTCCAGATTTGGTGCCCTCCTTGGAGTTCAAAATTCAAGACCCATTTTGAGGGTTTTGTGCAAATTTGAGGTAGGGACACCTTAATCCACTACCTTCTTGTTACATTGTGAGTTATACTCCTTTGTTGTGCCAAGCATGCTTAATTAGAAGTTAATTGTATCAATGATTATTTTAAATATTGTCTAGAGAAATTCATGTATATGAATGTGAGTTGTTTTATATGTAAAGCATGCTTAAATATATTTTGTTGTATCTTAATGTGTTAATAATTACTTGGGAGATGTTGAACATGTTGAATGTTTAATTTTATGGTGTAGAATTTTAAATGCCATGACATTGAATGTATGGAACATATATACATCCATGCACATGTCATTGGGAAGCATGAAATGGGAGAATTTGTCTTGAAATGAAAATGGGGGAAATTTTGGGAGAAGAGTTTGTCAAATAATTTTGATAAACCCGGTCGCTGCGGGGTTACCAACGGGCCGGAAGTTAATATAGCCTAGAGGGGACTAGGGAGTCGCCCTAGCGTGGTTGAGCTATTCATGCCCCTCGATGACACTGCGGGGTTACCAAAGGTCTATGGACGATAGCCAAGACTCCTCTCGTGTCGCGGCGGGGTTACCAAAGGGCGGGTTGTATTAACATTTGAAAGTGATAGTTTTGTGAATGAAAATGGGGAGTGACATTAGTATGCATTGCATTTCATTGCACTGCATAGTTTATAATTGGAATTGACGTGCATATTGTTTTAATTCCCTATATTGCATGATCTCTATTTCCCATTGATCTATGCTTTGTTTGGATTCACAAGGACATAAGAATTATGTCTTAAGTGTCACCTACTGAGCTTTATGCTCACCCTATTATTTATATTTTTTTTTTCAGGCCTTGAAAATGAACCAGTGGACAACAATCCACCTCAAGCTTGAAAGTTGTTAGAAGGTTGTTTGCTATTTTGTATTTTGACCGTTTTATGTATATTCATAGTTGTGGGGATGTAACTAAGTTAGTATTCATGGCCTTGTAACTTAAGAATGAACTTATCTTTTGTTTGATGTAAATGAAACTAATGGAATTATGGTATATGTTTCCATGCAATTATATCATGTAACGTTGTAAGACAGGGACTTCAAATTTTAACCATGTATTTTGGGACTGTAATTATGTTAATTTAGATTAATTGGTGTGTGAATGTTCCACCATGAGAGGAACTATGTTGAGGTATAATGAATAGATGAATGGGATACTGGATGATTTTATGTGTTTTGTGTATTGGAACAGATTGTTGAAAGCCCATTTTTAGGGGAGGTTCTGCCGAATTTTTTTTAAATTTTGGCATCAGCTAAGGTTCGTTACAAATTTGGTATCAGAGCGATGGTTCGAATACCATTCGGACGACGAGTAGAGGCTTACCTAGGGTTATATGGGAAGTCATTTGCATTGTTATTTCCTTATTTGGAAAAGTGTTTTGCTATTTGAAAAAGTATGCTTAACTGCTTACTTGCTTACGTGCTTATGTGCTTATATGCCTATATTAATGTGTTTATTGCATAGTATTACATGCTAAATGTTTGTACAGTATCTTTTGCGTTGGGTTGTTCACGGTTGGACCTTAGTGTTATCGTTATTGAATTGTTTCCTTTATTTTATAGAACGATGTCACGGCGTGAGGAAATCAGGGAAGTTGGCCCTAGACCGACTAGGGGTGATGTTGGCGAGAGCTCCAGCTCCAATCCGGAGGAGCTAAATGATGAGGATACACTTTTTAGGGACTTGATTCCCCCGAGAGTTGTCCCCATAAAGAGGGATAATGTTGAAACACCCGTAGAAGTGGGTGAAGGTTCTGTGGCACTGGAGTTGAATTGTTTGTTGCAAAATGTCGTGAGGGCAACGATTACTGCTCAGTCGCAGTTGGAATTACAACTTACAGTTCAAGTTGAGGAGACGCCAGCTCAGAAGCGTCTCAAGATTATTAAGGGGTTTTCTCAGCTGATGCCGATTATGTTTGAGGACGGTGCGGATCCAATGATAGCAGATGACTACATGGAGCAAGTTGAAACTCAATTGATTTCAATGGATGTGACGGAGGATCATTTGTGTAATACCCCTAATTTTAAAAGGATAGTCTCGGTATTTATTTATTTATTTTTATTGTATTTTTTTAATTGTTTAATTGATTATTTGACTAATTGTTTATGTATTTAATTGAATTAAGTGTTACTTGATTAATTGGCTACTTATCTATGTGTTATTTGTATTTTGTATAGGTGTTATTTGTATTATTTGTTTAATTAGATTGTGTGCTTAAATGATATATTTGATTAATTGTAATTAATTGTAAATTAAATGATTAAATGTTTTATTTTATTTTATTTTATGGTTATGGTTAGTGGTAATGGGCTAACTAATTGGGTCCCATGAACTACTTGGATAGGAGGTTGGATGGGTATGGATAATTACCCGTGGATAGTTGTATATGTATATATATAGATATATATGTATATACATATATATAAAAAGGAAAGTAATTTATTAATATTATAGTAACTTTAGTATTAATAAATAATCTGATGTATATATTTTATATATTTATATAATAAGGATATACATATATTTTATACGTAACATGTTTTAAGTTACCTTTTTAATATTATGGTAACTTTAGTATAAATAAATAATCTGATATATATATTTTATTTATTTAATGAGGATATAGATAGATTATTTACGTAACATGTTTTAAGTTACCTTTTAATATTATGGTAACTTTAGTATTAATAAATAATTTAATGTATATATTTTATTTAATTAATAAGGATATACATAGATTATATACGTAACATATTTTAAGTTACCTTTTTAATATTTTCATTTTTTTTATTTTTCTTTATTAAGTTGACTTGGATTGGAAAAAGGAATAGGGTTATCATTTACCCTATAAATACACAACTATAGGTTGAAAAAGGAGTGAAAATATATCACGTAATATATTCTAGAGAGAGAGAGAGTTCAAAAGAGAAAGAGAAAGAGGAAGGAATG